ACTATTGTTATTCTTCTCTCTTATTAAACTGTCTCTATCTCAACCCACGGGTCTTACTTTTTTTTCTTTTCTCCTATTCTCTCCCCCATCCCACAGAGGGAGGGGGGGGAGTGAGCGAGCGGCTGCGTGGTGCTTAGTTGCCAGCCGGGTTAAACCACGACAGGCCAGCTTCAGGGAGAACGGTCTTGGTCTCCTAGAATTTTCTAAGCCACCGTCCGGCATGCACATGAGAGGGGCACAGCTTGAGCTGCTGGGAACATCACCCGCTCCGCCTGTGTTTTATAGCTGGAGGGTATCTGCCAGCAATGACCGCTGCAGTGCCAGCCTGCCTCTTCCTGAGGAATACACCCTGACAACCGGGACACCCGGGATGCTCCGGTTGATGGTGCACACGCAGAGGATGTGAATGTCAACTCCATCCTAACAGAGTTAAAACCTGCAGACTCCATGGCCTGCTGGGATCCTCATTTTCTTGATAAACGAACAGAGCAAACCTTATCAAAATGAGCAGGCTGCAGTCCTGCTAATGTAGCTCTGCTTGTGCTAAAGATAATTGATGCTTTAATAACGCTAGGCATTATCCAGATTTTGACTGGGGTGCTTATGTGAGGAGAGGCATCAATCACAGGTGCTTGTATTTCACTTTTATCAAATATTTAGGTGGGTGGCAAGGTGCATTCTTGTGCTGCTCTTGGGAAAAGAGTGTTGGGCTCTGAGATATGAAGTAAATGAATCATCACATCCCTTTTGCCTACATCAGTTTCCCGCAGATTGGGCGAGTGAGGATTTATGCTTCAGTTATCTTGGCTGGAGGGGGGAGGTACCATGTGCTGTGGTGTTGGAAACAGAGGCGTGATGACCATGGACTGCAGTTCCCAAGTGGAAGGCCTTCAGGCTCATCCGCCAGAGAAGACACGCGTGTCTCTGCTGGGTGTGCTGCTCTGCCTGGATGAGGTCCTCCTGCAACCTGGGCAATGGCTTTGGAGTTGGGTAAGCCTTGAGAGAAGCTGTAGGCGAAATCTGCTGTTGTGTCAGACGAGTAGACGTACCGGGGGAGGGATGCAGGTGGTACATGAAGCCCCACCACCGTGCCAGCCCTGGCCAGCGTGTGGTGATCTTGTTTGATACATGCCCGAAGGGTGTCTGGCCACTCACCCGCCTCCTGCGCTCTGTGGGATGGCTCCAGGCCTCGGTGGAGGCAAAGGGAGCTGGAACAGAGCCACTTCTGCATCCTGACCCTGGGCTCGGCTTCCTGCGTTCTATGTGTCATGTCCAAAGCTATAACGTGGGGCTGCTTCCGGAGATGCAGTCCCCTCCTGTGGAGCTTTTCCTTGTTAAGATGACTCCTGAAGCATCCTGCCTGGCTGAAACGTTTCCTCTGGCCCACGTCTGCCTGGAGGTTTGGTTTTTCAAAGGTATTTAGTAAGTGAACTCCTGTTGTCTTGGAGGAGATGAGTATAAATATTGATGGGAGCTTTTATTCTCTTTCAGCTTATCAAAAGATTTATGGCCTGATTTACTTCAAACTTTCTCTTTATTTCATACTTGGCAGCAGAGATTGTTTTCCCAGCAAAATTCCTCCCCAGTCTCCGTGCCCAAGAGCAGAAGGCTGGAGCGGGGGGCCTTCCTCCTGGGTCTGTTGCTGTCACTGGCAACTTTTGTCTGGGGGCTTTGGCCCCGGTAGTCTGAGCTGCTGACGTGGAGCCCACCAGGCTGCGTCCCACAGGCTGGCAGAGCTGGGACCCAGCC